CATTGTCTGACTTCCTACACGACGGTGAGAGTGTCGGGCTGAGCCTCCGCGGCGCAAGAATGCGGCTGTCGACTTACCGTTCGTGGCCGAGCATGCATGACAACCGGTTCGCGCTCTACAAGCTCACGGTGCAGGCGCCCGTGCCGGGAAGGAGTACGCCGGCCTGTGGGGAGGCACATTCGGGTGGCCGCCAGGGCGGCCAAACGATGAATGCAAGCCCAAGAAGGCTCTCTTCTTCCTGCTCCTCTCATACGAGGAGGACAGTGAGGGAAGCTTCAGCTGATCGCGACCAAGGTGTTGGAGGAACGCACTATGTTGTCCATCCCAATGGGTCTTCGATGTTTATCGCGAGGATGGGCGAGCCATCAACAGAGCCTTTTCCATGGCAGACTGATGGGGAGTCCCGAAATGTTGATGTCGAGAGAGGCTTCGCGGGAGAGGGCATTGCAAATGGGTATGGCTTCAGATACCCTGGCTCAAAGCCTGGTTCATTGTTTGTCCTCCAGGATGGGCTGCTTGCATTTGTTTGGAAAGAGACCGGGGCCGTGCTTACCTTGCAAAGACTGGATTTGGAGGAGTTGCTGAAGAAAGGGGAGCGTGTGCCTGCATTGCAGCCGGTGCCAAACTTTGCTTACCTGACAAAGTCTTACTCCAATGTTTTCACCGGTTTCCCTGGCAGCTCGGCTTCTCCCAGGTATATTTCCAGTTCCATATTGCCACGGGAATATATTGAGATACATGTTACCCATTTCATTCTGTCCTGGTTAGCTCATGGTCTGCAGTTGTTGTTGTGTTTTGTCCTGTTGTTCAGGCTTATATCGATTTTGAAAGTTCAGTTGGACAAATTTGTTAGAAGGAACACCTAATTAATTAGGCCCCAAAATCCTAACAGATGATTCTTGTCATTGTTAAGCCATTTGGGGTCAAACCATTTTAGATTCCTTACTGGACTATGCACGCAGAGTATGCCTAATCCCTGTGGCTGTTGCAATTCTTGTATGTTATTTAATATGTTTTATATGTAAGTACTCCAAGCGTTAACTATCTGATGAGCTATGATTACTGAACACTGTACTCTGCAAGTGCAAAATACAACACTTACAATAGTACTAGTTTGCTTCTGTTCTAAAACTGCACTAAACACACTGCCAAATATGTATATTTCTTGTAAGGTCTGTATGTTCAACTTGGCTAACAATGCGCCTTCAGTATTCTCCTAGGCTTTTCATTTTTTCTGTTGAAAATATCAGTCTTTGCAAAACTTCTGCTCAATTTATTGTATTTCAGAAGGTTGAGGAGTGGTCTACAAAATGCACCTGTGACTGGCTAGTTAGTTTTTGTTCTGAAACATTTGATTTACATAAATGCTTATGAAATACCATTGTGCTGCATCTACCATGTTGCTCCTGTACTGACTGACTTTATATGGTATGAATTAAGCAATGCCCGATCTATCTTTTCTAACTTCCGAGTCGTTTGGCGTCTCAGAGTATATATCGTCATCTGACGAGATGGACAACCTTTTCTTCAGGTAAAAGGCATGAGAGGAGGAGGATGTATCAAATGATCACCTGATGCAGACAACGGAGAAATGGTCTCCAGGATCAAGTTTAGCTCTTCTTGCTTGCCGGGTGATAGTCACCTGGCGATGCTTCCATAATCCATACCTAGTGGCTTCAGGAGCATAGCAGCAGCCGTAATACTCTAGGAATTCAAATACTTTGTCCTGAAGAAAATAGCAACCACACCCCCATATTCCTTACTACAGCTATTTTGCATGTTTGTGCTATAAATGAAAACCATATGGAGTGTAAACTTGTTTGAAATCTGTACATTTCTTCGCTGTAATGAAGGTGATTATACAAAGCCTATACTGGCATAGCTCAGGTGACAGTGTTTCTTTGGATGCAGTTGACGTAATGTGTTTCTTTTGATGCATTCATCATCAGTGTTGTGCATGACCTTTGTGTGTCAAAAGTAAAGCAAAAGCTAAGTCACTGTTTTACTTAAATTGGTTCAACAGGCCCGATAAGGTCCATGTATGGTCAATCGTCTTCCGTCACAGTTTTGGACCTATGTACGGACTATATTAACGAGCGGGCCTTGCTTTCTGGGGCCCAGTATCTTATTCTCGAATGAATCTGGAATCGTTGGGCGGATCCAAAGGGTGGCATTTCTGTCATCCACGTAGAATGTTTTCACGGTGTAGGACATCTTATCTGCTTGTCAACACCATTCAAATTATATTCCTTTCTGATTGAGAAGTGGTTATTAAGGTGGTTTCATCTTTTTTACTCCCTCCCTCCGTTCTAAATTATAAGTTGTTTTGATTTTTTTCCATCCATTTTGCTATTTATCTAGACATATTATTATATCTAGATGCATAGCAAAATAGATGTACCAAAAAAGTCAAAACGACTTATAATTTGGAACGGAGGGAGTATTTAAGAAAAGTCCAGTAAACATCCGATAAAATTCTTAAACGGCTAAGAGCATCTCCAAACTCACTTCCTAAATCATCATTTGGATATTCATTTGAATAAAATAGCTCGCTATATCTTTTCACTCTCCCACAACTACTATCTTGTCCGTACTTTAGAGACTCAGCCTCGCTCTCTATCTTTGCTAACAAGAAATCCGAAATATAGGATGTCTATATTTTGATATTTAATTTAAAAAAATTTGTCAGGGGGTATTTTCTCACAAAGATCTCTATTCCTATCTACTAGAAAAGATATAAAGAGACTATTGGAGTTGCTCTAAACCATAAAAATTATCTCTAAACTTCTAAACCGACAAAAATCCTAAAGATAGATTGTAACACAAGAAACCCAAATACAATATTTAGAGCCCGTGAAAAATATCTCTAGAAGCTTACAAAAATTATATTTTGCTCTAGGAAAATAGAAATTTCCCAAAACATTTTGATTGATGTCTAAATGTGTTGGAAACTTATCACAACATGAACATGAGATGCAACTAGTGAACTAGAAAACCATGAATGTGACATTTGTTGTGCAAAGTTTTGAAAACACATCTAGACATTCATTCTACTAGACGTTCATGAATGCAACATATTTGGTTGTGCGAAGTTTTTAAAACACATCTAGACATTGATGAATACAACATACATTAATGTAGAAGGCATTCATGCTAGTTGTATCCATATTTTCTGTTGTTGTACGAAGTTTTCTAAAATACATCTAGACAACGATTATAACGTTTTGTTTTCTAAATTTATTGGGTATTTTCCAATTTTCCTACAACTAAGCCTAATTGTTGGAAGCTTCTAGATATTTTTCACGAATTCTACATATCTTATTTCGGTTTCTTGTGTCTCAATCTATCTCTAAGATTTTTCATGAATTTTTTAGAAGCCTCAAGACATTTTTCGTGGATTAAAAATCTTATTATATATTTACTATATTTTTTATAAGTAAAAAAGGGTGGAACTGCCTTAAAACCACTTGTAATCAGGGCATGTATGTAATTTAATCGATTTTGAGAGTTGAGGGAGTGTTCAATATATGCTTGGTTTTGGAGTTCAAGGAGGAAAGCTAGACTCGAGTGATATATAGTTCAAGAAGATAAGATTTTTTCCTTTATTTTCCATTGACTAGAAAAGTTGGAAGCGCATGCTATTGTAAGGTTTAGCCCTTTGGAATGGGATATGAACTTATTTGATGACCATATCGCCCTCCCATCAAAAGAAAAATAACATTGCGCATATATGAGTCACTATCTAATTCTTATCACGCCATTACACCATATCCCCACCAAACAAACCCCACATGTATGATTCAAATGGCGAAAATAGTGAGCTCTCTAGCTCGTCCGAAAACCAATCTTCATTCTGAAGCTTTTAAAAACAAGCATTTGAATTCGAGAATCTACACTCACCCTCGCATCTTATATTGGTTTAGATTCTTGATGCTTGTTGATTCATATGTATGGTCAATATGGTAAAAGTTCTTACTATTCGGAATGGAGGGGTAGACGTGGCAATTACCTCACCTTGTTGTAAGGGACGACCCACCAATCATTAATTAAAAAGAGAGTACCTCATCGTGGGTCCACTTTGTAACGGTAATCATTATGAATACAGCTTGCACATCCGATTTCTCCTTATCGACTTGGAGCCCTTTTCATTATGCATACAATCCTTAATGCCTAATATGTCGTTTGTCGTTATGTTGTCATTGAACCTAAATTATAACTGTCGTTATGCTCGCTAACATTTAAGGAAGATAAAAAAACATACCATGTAGTGGCATCTAAACTTATAGACATTATCCACCCATCCTCTTTCTTCTTCCTCGCGCCTCTGGTAGTCGCTTCACTCAAGTGCTTTCCTTGTCTTTGTTCTTCCGTAAACCTAGGGATGTTTGGATCCTCTTCCGCCTCTCACCTTGTCTCGCTAAGCAACGCAAGGCGACCTTCCAAGGGGGTGTTGTTTCCCTTGCTGGTGCTCGGCTCGCCTTGCACCATAACTCTGTGGCGGCAGCAGAGGTTCATCCGCCATTGGCGGTGGCCCATGTCGTCTAGACAAACGTCAACCCAATAGCGGCAGAGCGTCAGCGAACCTTAATTCGATGACAAGAGAGCTTGATTTAGTATCATCAAACCTTAATCCAGTGACCTAAGAGGTTGTATGTGGCGGTGATGACTCATGAGGGAAGAGGAGGGGAAGTTTTGGACAAGGTTTTGGCTCCCTCGCTAGTTTTCCCCCGCTCCTCCAATTTTTGGACAACCGCTTCTTCGGCTTCGGTTCATCCTCCCCCCTCCCACCCACAGTCCCACCCCACCCTCGTCCTGCTCCTCCCCTCCGGCGTGCGTTTCCTTCCCCGGCTTGCCTGACCGAGATCTCTAAATTCCCTTCAAACCCTAGCCCTCTCCACCTCCTCGCGCCGCCTTCCAACCCTCTTCCCTCCTCGCGCTTCCCCTTCCCCATCTCGCCGTCGTTTCTTGGGTCCGGGACACGCTCTTCTAGCTGCCCGCGTATGGCCTCCGACGGCGCCGCCAGAGGCCGCCCTCCCAAGCTCCCCGCTTCGGAAGGCCTGGACCCATCCAACGTCCTCACCTACAAGAGACGCCGCCGCGGCACCGGCGCCAACGCCGGCCACAGCGCCGTCACGCCGGGCCCCGACCCCGTCAAGGTACGCATTCCCCTCCAAACCCTAGCTCCCCCCCTCCCCCAACTCGTCGTTCTTTGCTACGACGACGACATGGGTTTTACTAGAGCGAGCGTCTCTCCAGCCTCGCGGTGCCTTCAGTTACTCGTAGATTTCGTTCATATGCCGCCAGATTTCGGTTCCGTCTTGCGAGATTCCCTTTCTATGTCGCAGCGTTTGCTCTCGAGCCTAGGGTTTCCTGTAATGCTGGCACTCGTCTTCTTGGGCGTGCATACGTCTTCTTGGGTGCCGAATTATTGGTCAGTCATGGCTTTTGCTTCTCGAGATTTGTCATTTATTCCCCTGCTTTCTCCCCTGTGCAGAATAAGATGAGCGCGGTGGTGCACGCCACCAGTTCCCATCAAGGTGGGCGCCAAAACCTGGACAGGTGCTGGAGAAGCTGGAGGGACACGCTGGAGGGCGTCCTGCAATCCACTGCTGGGAACCAGGGCTCCGGAGGGATTCAGAGCTGCATCCGAGATGCGCTCAGATATAATGGTTGCCAGCCCACAGAACATGTTAGTAATCCATCCAATCCTTCAGATTCAACATAACCTGTGCATGCCGACCTCGCGTAATGGTACCTTTTCACTTCACCCTAACAAAAGCTTCTATTTTGTTTTCTGGATCTACCAGGGGAACTTAGCTGACGGCCAAGGAGCAGGAAGAGAGGACCCTGCTGGAGCTGTACATTCTGAAGAGAATAGTGGTGCCTTGGTTCAGTTAGAAGATGGAACAGCTGCATCTTTGGAAGCCAACAAGGCGATGTGCCATAAAGCTCTCTTTGACATTCTAATCTCCGAGAAGTTTGCCATGCTGTGTGATCTGCTAGCTGCAACATTCCATGTCAATAAGCCTGATGACCTGATTGGTTTGCAAATAATTGATGCCAAGATGAGAAATGGGGATTATGCACAGAACCCTGCGCTGCTTGACCATGATATCAAACAGGTACCTATTTGTTTGTTTGCCTCATTCCTTTTTTTTTTCCTGTGCTGTTTTCTCTGATATAGAAAAAGATGTAGCTGTGGTTCTACTTGAGAGCCTATGGTAGGTTATTTCAATGCTCAAAATTTGAAACCTGTCCCTTTTGCTTGTCTGTTTGACTACATAGATTCAAAAGGTCATATAGTTAGGAATGATTCTTCCTGTGTTCGCTGCCTGTTTCGGTCCCTTTTTCCAGCGCATGGGTTGGCCCTTGCAAATTCTTCTAATAACCATCCAAATTCCAAACATCAGAATCATTTTCCAATGCACTGTAGCTGGAATAGGTATGCTCAACCAAAAGGGCGTATATGTAACCTCATAGCCATATTTCTCTACTGGCTTGAGGCCAATCAGAGATCTATTGCCTCCTTTTCCAATAAAGGACATCTAATAGCTGTTTCTCGTGGGAAGGGATCCGCTGTCTTGGTCTTCATGAATCTGTGCTCTGTTCCTCGCCGCCCGTGTCATCCGCTGCCCTTGACCTCACCTTGCCAACTCCCTTGGACTTCTCTCTTGAAGTGAATCACAAGGTGATGGTAGTCATGAATGCACGTAAATCAGACATGGGTTGCGTCACGTTGCCATACACAACTACTCAATAAGTATGTTTCAATCCCTGTATTGTGAGGAAGCATTTATTTACCTTGTTCACTGCTGTTCTTAAATGAAAGAAGGCAAAATCAGGAAAGTTATCTTAATATTTTTGGGGCCAAGGAATAAGCAATTAGATTTGGTTTATGTGTTAGTACCTCATATATATCTCAATGGCCAAAGAGGTCCTCTGATATTTGTTTTTCCATTTTTCTCTCATCTGTAAATTCTTTTGTTTGCTGTTATTCATGTACCAAACACCCCCAGAAGTTACCATAAACATGCAGTTGAAAACATTCCATCAATGCTGTTTGTTTCTTCTAATATGTATGTATATTTGTTTATTATCTAGATATGGAAGAAGATTGAACATGTTGGCCAACAAATGGCTGGTCTGGCAAGCAGTCTCTCACTGATTTCACAAGCTTCTCATCAAAAGCAGGTAACATGAGTTTTCTGTTGGTGCTTCGTTGGCATAATTTATGGTGTTAGCCATAGATTTTGGTTCAGGGCGTTGTATTGTTGAAATCATTCCATTTATGTTGGTCATTGCTTATAGAAATATTCTTTGTAGGCTTCTGGCGTTTCAGAAATTGATGTGGCTGAACACAGGATAGAGGTGAGTGGTGTGCTATGAACATGTCTGCTGACCATTGTTTTGTTGTTAGGATTTGTTAAACCCCATTCATTAATAACTGCACTCTTTATTAGGAAACAAATTTGGGTGGTGGCACCCACAAAGCCCTAAGGGAGTTGACTCCCCCTTGCGATTCTGGCCATTCTACGATACCCAAACAAACTGGGACATCTGGATCGGATGGAATTTGCAAGGATTGTGGCGGAAAGGCAGACAGCGAAGGAAGAATTATCTGTGATAGATGTGAAGCTGCATACCATGTTTCATGTCTCAAGCTTGCCATTGATGAAGAGGCCCCAGCAAAATGGTACTGTCCCAGCTGTTTTGGATTAGACGGACCTTCAAAGAATAACAACAATGGCAGATCACATGAAGGCTGCGATGTATGCGAGTGGCTCGTGGTGGAGAAGCCAGAAGAACCCGCTGAAGACGTTATCCAACCTGAATTGGCCATCAAGACGCAGGAGAGCTCAGTGTCAAGCATGGATGAAGACAGTGAACCGGACCTCTCAACAACTGCTCTAGCAAACTTGTGCAAGCATTGTGGCACATGTGAAGATGAGAACAAGAAGTTCTTGGTATGCGGCCATCCTTACTGTGCTTACAAGTTCTATCATGTCCTGTGCATGAAAGAAAGCCAGATTGCAAGTGAGAAGCAGAAGAATCTAGCATGCTGGTACTGCCCGTCTTGCCTGTGCAGACGCTGCTTCAGAAACAAGGATGATGAAGAAATAGTATTGTGTGATGGCTGTGATGATGCTTATCACATTTACTGCACTACTCCGCCGCTCGAATGTGTCCCGAGAGGTAACTGGTACTGCATGTTGTGTAATGCGCGGAGGTCTGCACGTGGGATGGAGAGGTATGAGAAGTCGATCCTGCAGAAGGCCAAGCGTGTTCCTGATGCCAAAAGGCCAAAGGTGCATGCAGCTGCTGCTCCAGAAAAATAAGTAGCAGCGGTGTGGATGAGGTTTCACAGGCTTACTAGGGTAAAAGAAAGGAAATGATTCTTTGGTCCCTCTGAAGGGGGTATACATTACTCTTGACAGCTTGAATAATCGGAGGATGGGTTGTGTACACATGGGGAAATGTCCTGTTGGCTGGTGAAGACGAGATGGTGGCATCCGTGTGGATGCGCACTTTGGTCCCTGCGGATGAACTGCTGATGTTGATTTCCTGTCCTGTTATTTTCTTCCTGGAATTCTTGTGACTATTTCGAGTAAGTTGTTGCGCTGTTATGTTGTGTCTGCCCTTTACCTGATGGTAAGTGGTAACATTGACACCCACCCATGTTGACATCGCTTATCGATGATATGTACATGTCTGTTACTTGTTTTGTTTTTGTTAAACAATGTGTGCTGTTCTTACATACTTTTGCATAGCCTGTCATCGATGTCTGTGAAAGTTTGTTACTGCTATTATATATATATCTCTGATTGGACCCTTCAGGCAGAGAACTTGTGTGATAGCTGAACAATTATACATCTTCATTTTTTTTTGAAGTGTCATATTCATGTCGTGGATTTGTTTCAATCGTGATGGCTTTGGTAGTATGGTGACCCACAGCTGTTCGTTTGGTCGTAAACGATCGTGGATTATAAGCCAGAACAGTATTTTTCTCTTACATCAAACCAGCCAGCAGTAATAATCTACGATCCTTTCAGCTGAAACAAACAGGCTGCCAGAAGGCCTGAGAACCCTGGTGTCAATGCATCGTACCCTGCATGTGCCTAAATTAGTTAGACAAAAGGAGATGGCGGGAGTTGTTTCCTTCGTAGTCATACTACCGTTGATGGTACCGAGACTTTGCATTGCTTGGTTTGCCAGAATTCAGAGAATTTGGGTGTGTGCGCGCGCATGTGGGAAGGCCAACCTATATAACAATATATATAATAATGTAATATAGTCGTTAGTCCAAACGAAGCGCCTGCCCAAGTTCCTTACATCGAATGGGACAAAACTAAGTTCTCATTTGGCGAGGCTTATTATGTAGCCGCTCCGGCTTTGAATCTAAGAAATGGCTCCGCGTGAAAAAGCTTTGAGGAGCCTGAGCCATTTTCACACCATGTTCGTTTGATCGTATCAGCCATGCTTATCAGTCATGATATAGTATTTTTTTCTCATAATAAAACAGTATTAGCCAGCTTATAAGCCACGTAAACGATCAAGTGAACAGGGGCGGAGCTGTGAACTTTTTTCGGCTTCTCTTTACAAATTTGACATAAATTTTTGCAAAACTGTGATTAGAGTCTTCTTGTCACACATTTTCCAAAACAGTTACGGAGACAAATGAGATGAGCTGCTGCAGCTTTCACTTTCGTCCAAAAAAAAAAAAACCCTCTAAAAAGAGAGAAGGCAAGGGAGCAGGATTGCAGGAGTAGCAAAGGGCAAAAGGCAAAGGGGGACAGAAGAGGGCAGAGAAGGCACACGTAACGCGTGGCAACAGGCAACTCTCTGCACTTGCACCACCTTCGACTTTTGTCGCCTCACATCATCAGTTGACGGAGAATTGAGAAATCGAAAATTAATCGCATCATCACGCCAACTGAATTCCCAACCTAAAACCAAACCAAAGGAAGCAACAGAATACCCCCTCGCCTCCTCCCTCGGCCCCTTTCAACTCGTCTTCCGCCTCCCTCCGCTCTCCTCTTGCCTTCTTCTTCCTCCTCATGTCGCCTCCTATCCATCTATACCTTCTATTCTAAGCCACCTCGATCTTGCCTGCTCGGACCCTAGATAGATACAAGAAAAGAGAAGAGCCTTTGTGGTTAATGGATGGTTGGATCACTGGGCGGAGCAGTTTCTCATATCGGATTGATCGATTAATTAATACATACTAAATATATAATTATTATATACGCCAAGAGAAGATAAGAGAAGAGAAGAGAAGAGGAACGCCGGCCGGTTTCACTTGTCTCCTTCCTCCGATCCCTCCCTGCCTGCTTCGGCGGCCGGCTGGGCTCGGGCGTTCCCCTTTTCTCTTCCCATGGAGGACGCCAAGATGGGGAACGCCGCCACCATCCGCGCGGTGCTCGCCATCCTCCAGTGGTGGGGATTCAACGTCACCGTCATCATCATCAACAAGTGGATCTTCCAGGTCCGTCACGCCCACCATCCCTTCCTCTTGGGTTTTCTTTCCTCATCAGTTTTGTTTATTTGTTTCAATTCAATTCCCAGAGATGATCGTGTACATAGTTGTGTTAAATTCAATGGAATTTAGGGGTGGATCCGTGTGTACAGGACGAAAAAGGTTGCGCCTTTCGTACCAGAGATTTTGCCTCTTTTAGTTTTCGTCTTCCTCCCATCGTTCCATGGGTGCAGATTAATCGCCCATGATGATGTCGTCTTGTCTAGTGTTTTGGCAGAAACTATAAGGAATCATCTTTTTGTTTGTCTGAGAATTACTTCAACTGGTGGATGTTAATGATGGAGAACAGTAGGGTTTTCCGATTGGGAATGGACAATTAAGGGACTGTCCTGATAAATTTCAGAGTTAACAGTCTTGATGAATTTCAGAGTTAACTGAGAGTGACAGAATGTAAACGCCGTGCTGGGAACATGGCCCAAATCCAAATGAGGGCCCTTTTTCTTGTTGACAACCATTCTAGCATATGGTACAGTTGAAAAAGCTTTCCTCAATCAAGAACACAAGTTTGGCGTCCACTCTCCAGATTTAATTGTAATTATGGTAGTCCTAGAAACAACATTTGTGCATTCGAATTTCTGATAAGTGAAAACCATAGCACTAACCTTGTGACCTTTATGTATATCCTGCCATTTTTCCCATCATAAACAAAAAACAGAAGGCAAAATGAAAATGGATGCAGGGTTAACAAAAGCATCCAGATTGCACCTTTGTGCAGTTATCCAATTTCTTAGACCAGAGGTAGGTATATAGTATATTAGTATGTACTATAGTTTGCAACCGTACATGTTCCTCAAGATTGTGGTTTACTTAAAGTTGTTGGAATGAGCAGCAAGGTTCTTATTCTGTCACGCTGACTCTGGATTTGATGGAGTGTCACCGTCTAGGATAATCTTTGACTTTGGCAGCCTTAACATTTCCCTTCAAGCTTCTAATTTCCGAGACTGTTTCTTGAGGAGGAGCTCTCTTGAAATATTTTGCTTATTTCTTGACTTGACATGCTGGCTTGGTAATGAGATGGATTAATTGATTCTGTATTTATGAGATGATTTGTCATGTGAACTAGCACAATTGTAAATATATATATGCCTAGAAAGTAGAAATCTGCTTGTTGTGTTCTTTAAGAAACTCCTCTGCTAACATGTGCTCTCTGTCAGAGAGATCCTTAAAGAAGAAGCTTTCTGTTTCTCCCTTTCCATTTATTTGATTTGAGTTATCTTTTGTTGCTCTGATGTTGGAAAGGGACAGTTAATGACACTAGTAGTTGCCATTGCCATTGCCGCTTGCTTGGCACAAAGGCATGGACTTGACGATGTTGAGGCCAAATTTTGCAGAAACTGGAGTTCAAGTTCCCTCTGACGGTGTCGTGCGTCCACTTCATATGCTCTTCTATCGGAGCCTACATCGCAATCAAAGTTCTAAAAACAAAGCCGCTGATCGAGGTTGACTCAGAGGATCGATGGAGAAGGATATTCCCAATGTCATTTGTGTTCTGCATAAACATTGTGCTGGGGAATGTGAGCCTGCGGTACATCCCAGTCTCCTTCATGCAGACCATAAAGTCTTTCACTCCTGCAACGACAGGTTAGTTTCTTTTACAATGATCTATCTTGTCATCCTATATTTTCCTGTTCTGCAATTCCTGCAGAATGATGATAATTTCTGACCAATGCAATCTCTTCTCCTCCATTGAGACGAGATGCAGTGATTCTTCAGTGGTTGGTGTGGAGGAAATACTTCGAATGGCGCATCTGGGCTTCTTTGGTCCCTATAGTGGGAGGCATTCTCCTGACTTCTGTAACGGAGCTAAGCTTCAACACGTTTGGCTTCTGCGCCGCCATGGTGGGCTGCCTGGCCACATCCACAAAGACCATTTTGGCAGAGTCACTGCTCCATGGATACAAATTCGACAGGTATAGTGTAGATTACTGTAATAGTAAAAGATATGATCTTGATTTACATTTACTGCTTGATTGAGTTTCCATGGATAGAACAGAAGGTTAATATGTTTTTGTATGTGTGTGTGACTGTGTGTGCAGCATCAACACGGTGTACTACATGGCTCCCTTTGCGACGATGATCCTGTCAGTGTCGGCCATGGTGCTGGAGGGCAGCGGCGTGGTGAGCTGGCTCTACACGTACGAGTCGGTGGGGCCAGCGCTGGCGATCATCGTCACGTCGGGGGTGCTGGCCTTCTGCCTCAACTTCTCCATCTTCTACGTGATCCACTCGACGACGGCCGTGACGTTCAATGTGGCCGGCAACCTCAAGGTGGCCGTGGCGGTGCTGGTGTCGTGGATGATCTTCCGGAACCCCATCTCGGCCATGAACGCCGTCGGCTGCGCCGTCACGCTCGTCGGCTGCACCTTCTACGGCTACGTCAGGCACCTCATCTCGCAGCATCAGGCCACCGTGGCAACTAGCGGCGGGGGGCCGCGCACGCCTAGAGGCCGATTGGAGATGCTGCCGCTCACCGCCGAGAAGCAAGGCGACAAGATATAGCTGCTGCTCCTGCTGCTGCATGGAGATGCTGCCGCAGCTCTTCTTCTTGGTCATATCATATCGTCGGTGATATTAATATTAGTAATAGAGAAAGGAAAGGAATAAACCAACAAGATATATACATCTGATCTGAATATCTGATCGAGCTAACAGCTAGCCGTTTCAGAATCCATCGATCATCAGAGATGACAGGACGGGCTCCTACCGAATAGTTGAGTTGTTAGACAAATGGATGGAAGCCGAGTTGGTGTAGTTGCCAATTCTTTTTGCTCATACACATACTAGCATCTTTTCTCTCTCTCT